TGGCTGTCTCTCTCTCTCTCTCCCCCTCTCCCTCTCCCCCTCCCTTCCACTCTCTCTAAAAATTAATGGAAAAAATATCCTTGGTTGAGGATTAACAACAACAAAAAGACAGTGACAGGCTTGCATGTCATTTCTTCAGAAGGGTTTTTTAGTACTAATTTGCTAGAAAAATTGAAAGGAGGAATGCTTTTTATTTTAAAACTACAAATATTTATGTTTTTATTACATAGGATCATTTTCTGTTCCCTACTTGTCACCCAGTTGCAACTATTACTGTGAATTTTTTTTTTTTTTATCCTCACCCGAGGACATTTTTCCATTTTTTGTTCAGGTAGAGTGGGAGGGAGAGAGAGGAACAGAGAGAGAGAGAGAAACATCGATGTGAAAGGAACGCATCGAGTGGCTGCCACCCGCACAACCGACCAGGGCCGGGGACAAACTGCAACCGAGGTACGCGCCCTTAGCGGGAACGGAACCCGGGTCTCTCAGGACCTCAGGCCGACGCTCTAACCGCTGAGCCAAACCGGCCAGGGCTTACTGTGAATTTTTAATGTTACCAAAAGAAGCATTTTTCATGGAGTGTGCTTTTTTATTTTATTTTATTTTATTTTATTTTATTTTATTTTATTTTATTTTATTTGTCAGTTACTGTTTACATTCAATATTATTTTCCAGTGTACAGCATTGTGGCTAGACAATCATATACTTTACAATCATGGAGTGCTCTTTGATTTGCTGATTCATTGAGTGAAGTTTACTGAGTATCTTCTATGAGCCAGGTACCATGTCAGCACTGGGGGTGCAGGTGTGAGCAAGGCAAGCACAGTTCTTGGCGAGTTTCATTCTTACGGGGATGCAAACACAAATAAATCACTTAGTAAGATCGTCAGACACTGGAGAGCTCTATGACAGTGGTCCTCAACCTTCTTAATGACGTGACCCTTTAATACAGTTCCTCATGTCGTGGTGACTCCCAACCATAAAATTATTTTTGTTGCTACTTCATAACTGTAATTTTGCCACTGTTATGTCATAGGCAACCCCTGTAAAAGGTTCATTCGACCCCAAAGGGGTCGCAACCCACAGGTTGAGAACTGCTGCTCTATGATAAATGGCGAGATGAAAGAAGGCTGCTCAGTGGATTTTTGTTTGTTTGTTTGTTTTTTAAACAACTTAAATCGCCCTGGCTGGTTTGCTCAGCGGTAGAGTGTCAGCCTGTGGACCAATGAGTCATGGGTTCGATTCTGGCCAAGGGCACATACCTCAGTTTCAGTTTGTCCTTGGCCCTGGTCAGGGTCGTGTGGGAGGCAACCAGTCAATCCCTCTCACATTGATGTTTCCCTCTCTCTCTCTCCCTTTCTCTCCCTCCCACTCTATCTGCAGATAAATAGAAAAATATCTTCGGGTGAGGATTAAAAACAAAAACAACTTCATCGAGATATAATTCACATATGCAGTTGACTCATTTAAAGTGTAGAATTCAACATTCTTTGAAGTAATTCACTGGGTTTTGCAACAATCACCAGATTTTAGTTTTAGAACATTTTGACCCCTACCAAAAGAAACCTCATACTTATTCCCTTCATTTTAGGCAACTGCTAGGCTACTTTCTATCTCTATAGGTTTCCCTATTCTGGACATTTCAAATAAGTGGAATGATACAGTGTGGGTCTTTTGTGTTGGCTTCTTTCACTTAGCGTAATGTCACCAAGATTTATTCATGTTGAAGCATGGATCAGTGCTTCATTTCTTTCCATTAGCTGATAATGTCCCATTGTATGGATATACCACATTTTATTTATTCGTCCATGAACATTGGACATTTCAGTTGTTACCATCTTTTGGTTGTTATGAATAATGCTGCTGTGAACTTTCACATGCAAGTCATGTGGCTGAATGCTTTTGTTTCTCTTGGGTGCATGCCTAGAAATAGGATTGCTGGGTCACAGGGTAACTATGTTTCATCTTGTGAGGAATTGCCAGATGTTTTCAGATGTAAAATGCACCATTTTACATTTCCAGTAGCAGTGTATGAGGGGTCCAGTTTCCCCACTCACCAGCACTTGGTATTATGTCTTTTTCTGTTATACCTAGTGGGTTTGCAGAAGTAACTTACGATGGTTTGATTTGCGTTTCCCTAATGACTAATGAGGTTGGGTATATTTTTATGTACTTATTGCCCATTTGTATGTCTTATTTGGAGAAATGTATATTCAAATCCTTTGCCCATTTTTAATTGGCTTATTTATCTTTTATTGTTGAATTGTAAGTTTTTTTATATTTCCCGTATACATATTCCTATTAGATATACAATGTGTAAATATTTTCTTGTATTCTGTAGCTTGTCTTTGTACTTTCTTGGGGTTATCATTTGTAGCACAAATGTTTTATTTTTTATTGAGGTATAATTGATATATAACACTTTAGTTTCAGGTGGATAACATAATGATTTGATATTTATATATATTGCAAAATGATCACTACAGTAAATCTAGTTTGAGTTTTTACTTTTGATGAAGTCCAATTTATCTATTTTTTCTTTTGTCACCTGTGCTTTCAGTATTGTATCTAAGAAATCATTGCCAAATCCAAGATCACAAAAATGTTATTCCTGTGTTTTCTTCTAATAGTTTTTTGTTGTTGTTTTTTTTTATCCTCACCTGAAGACATTTTTGCGTTTATCTTCAGATAGAGCAGGAAGGAGAGAGGGAGGAAGAGAGAGAGAGAAACAGCGATGTGAGAGAGACACATTGATTGGTTTCCTCCTGCACAACCCCAACCAGGGCCAGGGATTGAACCTGTAACCGAGGCACGTGCCCTTGACTAGGAATCAAACCTGAGACTCTTTGATCCATAGGGCTATAATTTTAACTCTTAATTTAGGTCTTTTATCTATTTTGAGTTCATTTTTTTGTATGGTATGAGGTAAGGGCCCAAACTCCTTTTTAAAAATATATATATGTTTTTATTGATTTTTTGAGAGAAAGAGGAAGGAAGAGAGAGAGATAGAAACATCGATATGAGAGAGAAGCATTAATTGGCTGCTTCATGCATGCCCCCCACCTGGGATTGAGCCCACAACCTAGGCATGTGCCCTGACCGGGAATCGAACAAGGACCTCTCAGTCCATGGGACGATGCCCAATCCACTGAACCACACCACGGGGCACCAAACTCCTTTTTCTTTTTGGTTAATCATCACTTGAGAATATTTTCCTTTTGATTTTTAGATAGAGTAGAAGGGAGGTGGGAGAGAGAGACACATTGATTGGTTGCCTCCCACGTGACCCTGACTGGGGCCAGGGATCAAACCTTCAACCCAGGTACACACCCTTGACCAGGAATCAAACCTGTGACCCTTTGGTCCACGGACCAATGCTCTAACCACTGAACAAAACCAGCCAGGACCAAACTCATTCTTTTGCACATGGATATCCAGTTGTCCCAGCACCATTTGTTGAAAGAATATTAATTCCCTCATTGTATGGTGTTGATATCCTTGTCGAAAAATCAATTGGCCACAGACATGTGGAATTATTTTGGGACTCAGTTCTTCCTACTGTTCTATATGCCTCTCTTCATGCCAGTACCATGCTTCTTGGTTACTGTATCTTTGTAATAGTAAGTTTTGAAATCAGGAAGTGTGAGTCCTCTAACTTAATTTCTACTTTTTCCAGATTGTTTTGTCTATTCTGAGACTCTTGTATTTCCATATTAATATTAGGATTGATTGTCAGTTTCTGGCAAAAAAAAAAAAAGCCAACTGGGTTTCTAATGTAGATTACATTGAATCTGTAGATCAATTTGGGGTGTATAGCCATTTTAACAATATTAAGTATTTTGGTTCATAAACATAAGCTGTCTTTTATTTATTTATTTATTTATTTTCCCTTTATTGATTTTAGAGAGAGAGGAAGTGAGAGGGGGAGAGAGAGAGAAACATCGATGAGAGAGAACATCAATTAACTGCCTCCTGCATGCCCCTCACTGGGGATCGGGCCCACAACCTGAGCACGTGACCTGACCGGGAATCGAACAGGCGACCTCCTGGTGCATGGGTCGACGCTCAACCACTGAGCCACACCGGCTGGACTTTCCTTTTATTTAGATTGTCTAATTTCTTTCAACAAAGTTTTGTAGTTTTCACTGTATAAGTCTTGTACTTCTTATGTTAAATTTATGCCTAAGTATTTTTTTCTTTTTAACGACATTGTAAATGGAAACTTTTTGAAATTTCATTTTAGAATGCTCATTGCTGCTGGATAGAAATGCATTTGAGTTTTGTATATTGAGCTTATATTCAGTGACCTACTAAATTTGTTAGTACTAATAGCTTTTTAGTGGATTGTTTGGGATTTCCCATATATAGGATCACACCATCTACAAATAGAGATAGTTTTTTGTCTTCCCTTCCAATCTGGATGGCTTTTATTGGAATACTGCAGTACAACATCCAATAGGAATGATGAGAACGGACACCCCAGTCTTGTTCCTGATCTCAGGAGAAAACATCCAGTCTTTCACTATGTCCCAGAGGGTTTTGAACACCTTAGTTCTATTTCAGTCTCCACTGCCCACTCAAGCCTTGCCCGTCACTTGTTGCAGTTTCTGAACGAAAAAATGAGGGAAGAGGTTGATTTCAACAGCTCCTTCCTCTCCAGTTCACACATCCTACACTTCTGTGAGTCTGCTTTGGTGTTCATCCTTCTTGGCCAGTTCCCTTGAACTTCAGTTAGATCATCATGAGCACTCCATATGGACACTTGGGGATATTTGCCGGTTCATTTTCCATTCTTATTCTGACTGACTCTGACTTCCAGAATTCTGAACAACTAACCTAGAGACGAAATTGCAGAAATGTTCTAAAGAATCCATATTTCCTTTTCTTTGTAACTCTGAACAGCTTGGGGCAAGATTTGTGTTAGGACAATGCTCATTTCCACAAAAAGGTCCATGGAGTTCCCACTCTGTCTCTAACAATCAGCACCTTTTTGTTTTCAGACTCCCAGCGTTCTCATCTCTCCTCCTTCACCATGAAGCTGATGGACAAATTCCACTCACCCAAAATCAAGAGAACACCATCGAAGAAGGGCAAACCAGCTGACGTGTCTGTGAAAATTCTAGAGAAGCCTGTGAACAAAGTAAGCTGATTCTCTCTAGGTGTTTCTCCTACTTCAAGCAATAAGAACTGGTGCTTTTTACAAGGTCATTCCCTGGGGATTGAGTTCTCAGTTAAACACCTGTTACATAGTGTTCCATGTTGCAGGTGGGGCCAGCGCTCTTGTGAAATGTGAGCCTGTAGGGTGGTGAGTGTTTCTCATGTTAATCAGAGTCAAGCTCAGTTGGCTAGAACAGCTGTCCTTTCCCAGATGTTTCATCCTCTGGGCACTTAAAACAGCTCAGCGCATCATGTTCACACCCCAGAGAGGCTGCCTCCCTACCCCAGAGAGCCCTGCGTTGCCCTGGCGCACATGCACACACACGGGGACGTTGGTGATGTCCAGAACGTCTATGCTCTGAGACATGTAAAATCCTTGAAACCCAGCCACAGATGTCCTCAAGCACTAGTAACCTCAATAGGGCCAGTCAAGAAAGATGTATTAAAATAGCTGTTGATTTTCATCAACCCCTTTCTTCTGCCTAAAACGGCCATTTCAAGCTCTGTAGGAATCCAGGTTTCCTCTCTTCCAGGAGGCAACAGACAGATTCCTACCAGAGGGCTGCCCTCTCCCCTTGGATCTGGAGCGGCAGGCAGTAGAATTTATGTCCACCAGTGCTGTGGCTTCCAGGTCTCAAAGGCAGAAGGTCAGTGTGATGTTGAGAACATTGGGTTTGCCTTGCCTTCTATTGTGGAATCCTGGCCCATGGTTTTGGGGATGGAAAAAATCTATTACAGTATCATTGTGTTCATTTGGGTGGCAACTGTGGGCTTAATTGTTCAGGAAACAGTCCAAGGGTCCTTGGGTAGAAGTAAGTGTATCCAGCCCCTGTGGTCTTTGGAGAGAGTGCAGTACTTCATGGAGAGAGCTCGAGGGTCCTCTCTGGGGTTGGTTTGGGTGTGCTGCTTGGGTCTCGTGGGTGGATGTGAGTGCGTCTCATCTGTCAAGCTCAGCTCTTCTTCCCTGGAGTTGCTAAGATGATCTGACAAGCCGAGAAAGGGAAGGGCATCTAAAATGTAAGGTGCTGTCAGGCTGTGGTGAGAGCCACAGACCAAGTGCTCTTAGAGCCAGGGCCAGTGTGGGCCGCTATGGGCCGCTAACATTTATCTAGCCTTTCCTTAGCCCCATGCTAGTGCTCTGCACTCGTTCTCTTGCTTAACCCACATAACAGCGCTGGGAGCTGGAGACTGAGGCTGCAGAGACATTAACCACTTGGCCAGAGGCACGCAGAGAAAGGGGGGTGGAGATGATGAGATTTGAACAAGGTTGTCTGACATTCGAGTTGAAACTTGTGGAGCTACATTTCTTCTTTATGGAAGCCAGAGTTTATTTTCGAATGTCTCCCAAATCTAAATGTTAACCCCACATATAACTAAACATAAAAACAAAATTAAACTTAGCAGTGTGAAATAAAAACAAGCCTTGTGGACACATAGACCCTCAGTCCTCTGGTGGTCGCCCAGAGCCTCGTTTGCAGAGGAGCACGCGTCAGCCATACTTGGCTGAATGCCCTGGCAAGCCCACCCTGTTAGGTAAACACATAGTACTTACATTTCACATTGCACCTATTTCTGTTTTTATGTTCATCAGCAAAATACCTTAAAATCCTAGTTAAAAGTGGAGGAAATAAAGGTTTTAAATCTAAAAGTCTTTTGTTGAAGAATCCTTTTTCCTGCCATTAACAACAGGAGGCTGAAGAGTAAACATGAGAAATGTTCATTGTTTGCCAGATTGATCCAAATTCTAAACTGAAGGAGAATAATAAGGTAGAAGATTTTATCTGCACCACAATTATTTTTTGTGACAATCTGTTTAGCAGCTTCTTGGAGCTGAGTTTCTTATTAAAGTCCGAGAAGAGTGTCAGGTATCATCTAACACTGGTCTGGGCAACACAGAGTAAAATGATTTACTCACAACTGTTTTCTACTAGTGAACTCTGATAAGAAACTGTTTCAGTCACTCAGTTCTTGGAATTTCCTCCCCTTTCTTCATTATTCCAAGAGAGGTCATAGCGGGGAAGATTGGTGCTGAAGTGTCCTTTACTTAGTGGGGCTTCCTGTAAACTCCGGGCACATTGGGCAATGTTTGGTTGTTACAACTAGGAAGGCAAAGTAGAAGCTACTGGATCTGGTGGGAAGAGGCCAGGAATGCTGGTAAACATCCCACAATACATAGCACAGCCTCTCCGCTCCGAAACATAACTATCCACCCCAAAATGTCAGTGTACACAGCTGAGAAACCCTGTTCTGTAGCAAGGAGCTGTAGGTAGGCCTGATCTGTACCAAAGGAACAACGTTGCCCGGCTTTTGATTGTCGCCCTTTGAGAAGGGCCGAGTAACTATGCTCTGTCCCACACCAGGTGCGTCAGACAGAGTGAGTACAAATGTGTTGTGTGGTACAGGCCTGCAGGCCCGGACATGTGTGAACTTGAAGACTGTCAGAGAAATCTTACAATAAATCTGTCATCTGCTATCATCATTAATTATTTTTTACTTATTAGCTCTCTTAGCACTTAGGGAATATTTCACCCCAGTTTATATGCATGGCTTTGCTATTTACGACACAGGAGATTGCAGCTCAGGAGGGTTGCACAGACTCATCTGCAGCTGTCTGGCAGTCTCTGTGCCCAGGTCCTGTCCTGGTTGATTTCACATGCCATCTTATTTACTCCTCACCATGACCTGCTATTATTCCTAATATAGGGAGAGTTTGAGCTCTGGCCCAAGCATTTTCATCAAAATCTGCTTTTCCCTTAAATGTTATGAAATACTTACATATGCACTTTCATTCGGTCCCCACATCATCCTTTCTATCACCAGGGCAGGAATTATTCTCCCCCTTGTGCAGATGAGGAGACTGGAGCCCACTGGTCTCCAAGTCCAGTGGTGGCTTTGGATCTAGGTTCTCCAGAGCACGGCTGCCCTCATGTAGTTTCTAGGTTTGTTGGGCAGTGGTGGTACCTGCTCCCCACAGCACTGGGTGCGTGGGGAGGATGCATCTGCCTCTTGGAGGTTCTGGCCTGGGCTTCAGCAAAGCCAAGGCCTCAGGGTCCTGCTTCTCAGGAGTGCTCAGCCTAGAGCCTCGTTGTAAACTCTCTGACTGCTGGCTGCATTTTGCAAGAAGCCAGAGTTAATAGCTGAAGGGCAAGGGGAGTGCACCATGCTCAGAAGCTTTAATTTGGGGAGTGGAATTTGCCAGAGAGTTAATGGATGAAACTTGACTCTGCTAAACTATCATTCCTTTACTAGGAGCCCGGCTCTTCGTAGCTCATTTGATCTCTCTACAAAGGACAGGGAAGGTTTCTCTTTTCTCTGAAGTCCCTTGCCCCTTTTGGATGGCTCCCATCTCCAGGTCAGCCCCTTCCTCCCCAGCAAACCTGATGACACATTGTCTTAAAATATCTCCTGCTTCCTCCCCACATTTCATGTCACTGGCTCCTCACACATCCTGATCTGCTGAGATGGCAGTGTTGTGGTCACAGCCCTCTAACTAGACTGGCTGACCATGACTCTAGTCCTGTTTGATGTCTGCAGGCACCTGGATTCCTCCACACAGGTTTCTCCCAGCCCCGAGTGGGTGACAGTGACACAAACAGCTCTTGTTCGTGAGATGGAGAAAAAGTACCTGGCCTCTGGGAAACAGGCAGTAAACAAACAGTGTGTCGGCAGTGAAGAGAGAGACGAGGACAGGGCAGAAAGGCATAGTGATGGACTGGGGCAGCTCCCTCTCCTCTTGGAGAACTACATCTTCATGTCCACACAGTGCCTTTGGGGAAGTACCACTGAGAGAGGTTAAATCGGGCTTTGAAAGTCACCTGAGTAAAGGCACTATTTACTTATTGATCCCATTTATATCTTTTTATTTTGATATTCCCATGAAACGAATGCCTCTACTATTGAATTTTTCATTTAAAAATGACATTCTCCATCATTGTAAAAGAAAAGAGCTAGCATCAGAGTCATAATCACTTTGTATATTATATATGTGATTATATGTTTGCGGATTATTGCTGAAATCAACTTTGTTTAGAAATTAGCCTCTTGCCCACATTTGCTTTTATGTCTGTGTTCTCTGGACCTCAGAGAGGCCACAGGTGGCATTTCCCTCAGCTGCGCCACTCTTCCTGGGCACTGGTATGTCATCGATTCTACTTGAGTAGATGATGCATTTGGGGACTTAGCCATTTTACAGGTTATCCTTGATTTCCCTTTCCTTGCCAGCCAGCTGGACCCTGGGTCACTGACATTAGGGCCAGTCTAGAGAAGGGAGTCAGAGGGTGTGCTCACCCGCTGACTGGACTCTGGGCAGGCGCAGGGTCTGCTTTTTCTCTTCCTCGTGGTTGGGCTTCCCTCAGGGGCAGAGCGGCTGGACCAGGACTGCCGTCTGCTTGGGCTTCTTCACTGCTTACCCATGAGCCTCTGCCCCTTCTCACCCCAGGGTCTCCAGGTCCTTCAGGAGAGCTCTGTCACTTCTTTGAGAGGGGGCTGCAGCTTCGGCTGAATGTAGGAATCTAGTGAGGCATCCAGGGAGAGTGGGTTGTGAACACAGTGCCCCTGACCAGTCTTCCACAGTCCCTGGGTCCTTGGAAAGGCCCGGGTCTCTTTATTTGATTTACTGAACAGATGTGTGCCATGGGACTTAGCTGTCAATTCTCTAAGCTTACTCCAGCCAGCAGCAAGTCAGTCCTCAGTACACTAATGAGATTAGTGGCGCTGTCTCGTGTGTGGAGGAGGAGACTCAGGCCGTTTCAGGCTCTGTTCCGGGAAGGGGATTCAGGAATCTCTGCACAGCCTTTCTTGGCCCGAGCCCCCCTTTTCTTCCTTGGAGTCTAGCCTCTGTGTCCTGATTGCAGTCCTTAGAACAGTAACTGGGCTTGGCTTCTGCCGCACGAAGCCTTTTCCATTCACATCAATCTCAAGATAGTTTACAGGAAATTTTATTTTTTCAAAGTAGCTCCCTTTAATCTCTCTCCTCCCTCCTTATGCTTAACATTTCCTTTCAGAACCTGAGCTGGCTGGAAGAGAAAGAGAAGGAGGTTGTCAGTGCCTTGCGCTACTTTAAGACTATTGTGGACAAAATGGTTATTGATAAGAAGGTATTGGAGATGCTTCCGGGGTCAGCCAGCAAGGTGCTGGAGGCCATCTTACCACTGGTGCAGAGCGACCCTCGAATTCAGCACAGGTGAGTTACTCTGGAGTCCTGGGCTGTGTCTGAGCAACAGAGGCCTAGAGCCATCTTTATCAGGGGGCACTTCAAAGTCAAGTTTCTAAGAAGAGTGGAGAGGGTCAGGAGGGACAGGAGCCATCTCCTCGCCCCCACGGATATCACTTGATGCTGTCCCAAGGTTGAGGTCATTGTTACTCATGAGCCATCACTAGGGATGTAGCCCTGGTGCAAGTCTATGGTCATTGCTTTGCATGAACTCATTGGCAATAATCACATGTATTTGGACACATTTTTCCTAGTCCCCTCGGTTAACCATAGTGCATTACGACATTGAATCCTGTCAACGTCTACCCTGTTAGAGATCTCAGCTGCTTAGATGATTAGGACAAAAGAGGTAGAGAAGAGCCCCATTGGAGCACAGATTAGTGAAACATTTAACTGTGTCAAGCAAGGCTCTCCCAAACAACACTACATCACTGGGCGCCAGGGGTGGGGTGGAGGCAGCCCTGGTCCCAGGAAGCTTCTGTGGGGTAATGCTTTTATTGCTAGAGCACATTTTCCTCTGAAAGGTTTCTGCAGCTTGACCCCATATTCGTTGTTGAGTACAGAAAGAAAAGCTGTATTAAATGTACTCTTAAGTGCAAGCCAGCAGGAGCTTTATCCTGAAAGGCTGTCAGATGCCTGCTGGCTGTGCTTTTCTCCCCTGGTGCCTGTTCAGAGGCACGATCTCTGTCTCAGGCCCTCGAGGTAGTCCGGTGTGCATGGAGCCCCACGAGGCTGTGTGCTCATGAACTGCTTCCGGAACTTGGTGAGGAAGGGCATAGTTTTCGTTTTCTGGGTGGCGAAGCAAACAATGTCTTTATTTCCAAGAAGCTCTCTGCCCTGGGCTTCCATCTGGAGTGTCAGCTGGCCCTGTCGGTTGTGTTTTGGCTGGAAGCTCACTGAGCGAGCTGGTGGGGAGAATAAAATGTTCGTAGGGCCCTGGCCGGTTTGGCTCAGCGGTTAGAGCATCAGCCCACGGACCAGAGAGTCCTGGGTTCGGTTTCTGCTAAGGGTATGTACCTAGGTTGCAGTTTGTCCCGGCCCCCGTTGGGGTCTTGTGGTGGCAACCACTCGATGTATCTCTCTCACATTGATATTTCTCTCTCTCTCTCTTCCTTCCTCTCTCCCTCCCGCTCTATCTGAAGATAAGTGCAAAAAATGTCCTAGGGTGAGGATTAAAAAAATAATAATAAAATAAATGTTCGTAGGGCTTCGCCCTGCGACTGTCCTCATTCCTGTGCCATGCTCCTATCGTATAGGAAAAGCCTCTGAGGAAATGAGTCCCTGCGGTGCCCTGTCCAGTGCTTTGTGTACTGATCTCAAGAGCTTGAGACCAAGCACTGTGCTTTCTGATAGTGAGCCGGTGCCCAGCTCAGAAGGGCCCAGTCTGCTCTCCTCTGGGAACGGGCCTGACCTGATGCTGCGGTTGGGTAGGTGGGTGGCTTCTATAAAATGCTCTCATTGACTTATGTGGTGCTCCTCCCTACCATGGAAGGGTTATGGTGAGGTGCTAGTTGTATGGTCCAAGTAGAAGCTCTGCTGGAGTTTGAAAGAAGGAGGGTTGCCGTGGTCCACCAAACTTCCTGGGGGAGGAAGTCCTGGAGCCTGACCAAAAGGAAGGGTAGTAACTGGGTTGGCAGTGGGGGGTGGGGTTGGGGAACGAGAAGAGCAAAGGAACTGGGGCCAGCAGCTCAGTGTGCTTCTGAATGAGGGGACTCTGCAGTCACTGAGCAGAGCGATGGCCCTGGGGCTTCTCAGCGGGGAGCAGGGGAGCTGAGGGTAGATCACTTCGCCCTGCCACGTTCAGGTCCAGGACAGAGCCACCTCAGCTCACCCTGTAACTTGCAGTGCTGCCGTGTGCTGCTAGGGTTGTGGCTTCCTGGTGTCAGCAGCACCTCTGCTTGGGAAGCTGCTTTCTAGACCTGCAGGCCCTGGGAGAATGAATCAAGTCCCATTCTGGTTCAGGGCATTTTTGTCTGTGCAGAGGTTTTATAATTATTTTATAATTGACAATTTATTTAATGTCTACAGCAGTTTTCCTGGAGGGAAAAAGAGAAATGCCTGGCTGTAGCTATAAGGAACAATTAAGTATTATTATTATTTTAGGTAGTTGTTTGGAAGGGATTTTCTCCTGAAATTCTTCCAAAGAATCAGTATTTTTATTGATCTCCTTGAGATGATTGGAAATGCTTCCTCAAATGTTTCTTTTAGATTCCTCTATCATCTCATCCCTCCTAGCGCAGTTTGTAAGCTTGAAAGTTTTCTTCCCTTCTGCTCAGAGCCTCTTCTGTGGGCTGGCTCCTCCCTCCGTCCCCTGGCTCCCCAGGACAGTAGGGGACTGGCCTTCGAACAGGCAGCTGGCTGTGGGGTGTGAGCAATGGATGAGGTGCTGCCTGCAGTGGAGAGGCCTTGCTCTGTCCCACACAGTCCAGCCAGTGGTCACTGGACTGCACTTCCTCTCTTAACGTCTTCTCTTCCGAGCTAATGCTGTGCAGGGCGGACACACCGCCCATTCCGGGCAGATAGAAATCAAGTATTATATTGAAGTGTCCCCCTCCCCTTTCATCTGCTGATCACCCATAGTTTACAGAGGGGATCCTTGATGGGGACCCCCAGGACACCGTGGTGCAGGCGGCAGTCTGCTCAGCGAGGTCTTGCCTGGCCTGCCCGGTGCCTCCCCTCGGCCACGTCACCGCAGCCAGCCCGGAGGACGGCACTTCTCGTGTTTCCTGTCGTCCGCTCCGCCCCGCAGAGTTGCTCCTCCACCAGCACCTTTCACTGGTGGTGTCCTCCGAAGCAGCCGAGCCCTGGCTCTCTCGCCGTTTCTCATGGGCTTGAGGAGTCTGCTTGCTCTCCGTCCGGCTTCCTTTCTGCCGAACGGTGCCCAGGGGTGCTGGGACTTGCCGGGTTGCTGGACGCGGTTCCCAGGGGACTCCGCTTCGCGCCGCAGCCTTGCTTGCAGCCGGGTTTTGTTTACATGCCTTTGTTTTTGGAAACTGTTTTAATCGTATCTGACAAAAATTTTTTTTCTCAAAATTTTTTTTGGCTCCTAAATGTCTACCTTATTTTTTCTTTTTCTTTTTCTTTTTTAAAAATTTTTTGAGTAGAAGAGGGGGCAGTCCACAAATTTTTTTTTTTAATCATCACCCAATCATATTTTTCCATTTATCTTCAGATAGAGTGTGAAGGGGGGAGAGAAAGAAACAGGAACATCGATGTGAGAGAGACACATCAGTCAGCTGCCTCCCGCATGACCCCGACCAGGGCCGGGAGGTACCTGCCCTTGACCGGAATCGAACCTGTGACTCTTTGGTCCGAGGACTGATGCTATAACCTCCGAGCCAAACCCACTAGGGCAGCCCACACATTTTTTATATATTTTTTTTTTTTATCCTCACCCGAGGACATTTTTCCATTTTTTGTGCAGATAGAGTGGGAGGGAGAGAGAGGAAGAAAGAGAGAGAGAAACATCGACGTGAAAGGGACACATCGAGTGGCTGCCACCCGCACGACCAACCAGGGCCGGGGACAAACTGCAACCGAAGTACGTGCCCTTAGCGGGAACCGAACCGGGTCTCTCCGGACCGCAGGCCGATGCTCTAACCGCTGAGCCAAACCGGCCAGGGCCATTTTTTATATTTTTGCTCTTCTATTGTAATATGTAATATTTAAAGTGGAAAAATATTTTTTTTTCATAATTTTTAGGGAAAATTATTTTTAGTTATTTAAAAATATGTGGAAGATGTAGAAATTCTTTATTTTGACCTTCACTGTACAGTCGTTGAGGCAGCCAAAGTCCTCGGGGTTTCTAGGGGGGAGCAGCTCACAGTGTCCTTCCCCTCCCCCCACCATAGATCTCCTTACCTCAGATTTGTCTTTCCTAAGTGCTCTTCATCATTGCATTCCTGTGGGCCCGTGGAGCCATGGCTGTGCTGCGGGGTGTCCTAGTGAATTATAAATCTGTTTGAACTCACGTTTAAAGGCTTTTTTTTTTTTTTTTTTTTTTAATCCTCACCCGAGGACATTTTTCCATTTTTTGTACAGATAGAGTGGGAGGGAGAGAGAGGAAGGGAGAGAGAGAGAGAAACATCGATGTGAAAGGGACACATGGAGTGGCTGCCACCCGCACGACCAACCAGGGCCGGGGACAAACTGCAACCGAGGTACATGCCCTTAGCGGGAACCGAACCCGGGTCTCTCAGGACCACAGGCGGACGCTCTAACCGCTGAGCCAAACCGGCCAGGGCTAAAAGCTTTTTTTTTTAAAAGGATACTACCTAAGTTCCTCAGAACTGTGGGCTCCTTGCAACATGTCTGACCTGAATTTAAGTTTAATTCCAAACAAGACATGAGACTTGTGGCGCTTTGACCCCCTGGTGATCAGCAGCTCCACGGAGGGCAGGTGGGGCACCCTGGGGGGCATCGTCCATCTCGTGGAGAGCGTTGCATTTGAAAAAGCCTGTCAGCGATCGTGATGGAATGTTTATGTTATATTTTGGAAATGAAAAAATATATAGAACAGACCAGAATATATAATGCTCCATGAATTTTCATTGGCTGAAGGAGATGGGTTCGGGGAGGAAAAGTTTGTTTATCGGGGAGGTGTGGATTGTATACTAAGAAACAGGTTCTGCGCTAAGCAGCTATCTTACAGTGATCGCATGCTGTACATTTTTCACATTTTTAAAAATCTTCTTTTTCCTGTAGCTCAGCCCTCTCATCCTGCTACAGCCGAGTGTACCAAAGTCTTGCCAACCTCATTCGCTGGTCTGACCAAGTGATGCTAGAAGGTGTGAACTCTGAAGATAAAGAGATGGTGACAACAGTGAAGGGGGTCATCAAGGCTGTGCTGGATGGAGTGAAGGTATGGCAGGTGCCAGAGGGTCCTGGTCGGGACCTAGAGCAGCCTCCCTGTTGGGTGTTCATCACAGAAGAACTTGTTCCTAAACCTTATGCATTAGAATGAAGGTCTTCCGTCATCTCTGGTGTTGGTGTGCTGTCTGGTGGCTGTGTCATTCTGTGGTACAGATGGCTCTTACAGCAGTGCAAGCCTTTGGAGGACTCTTCTCCATGGTCGGAAAAGCTGCCAGAGCGATCAGCCTCCTCTGAGCACTGTGTTCAGTCTTCAGTGAGTCTGTCCATTGAAGCTCTGGCTCTGCGTGCTTGCCAACCAGACAAAAAGCAACAGACACGGGCTTGCATTGACTTCAAGCAAGACTCCCAGCATGTCAACTGCTATGTTTCCGTGTTCTAGAAACTTCTGGGATCCTTGGTAGAAAAGCAGGATTGAGATGAGTAAGAAATGAGATTGTCTGTATTTGAAGTCCATGATGTGGTCTTTCCATTACTTCCCAGGGAAGTCAGAAACGGCATCATAGGACCTTATGAATCCTAGTGAAGGTGGGAAGCAAAGGCGATAGGGGTCTGGAATTACTGAGAAAATACGTCCTTGTGGACGAGGAGCAAGGCAGATTGGAGGGTGAGGGTCTGTGGGTCAGGGCTAGGGCTGTGAGCAGTGGGAGTGGAGACCCTGCTGTTATGTGGGCCCAGCAATGTAGTGGAAAGAGGGCTAGCCTAAGGGCCCGGCTAGGTGTGAAGCCCAAGTTCACCACTTACTAGTCTGTGAACTTGAGCAGTTTACTCAAGTGCTCTGTACCTTGGTTGCCTTGCCTATAGATTAAGTGTAATAATCGTACCATATAGCATAGTGTTATAGGAGGGATTAAATTAGGTGATACATGCAAAGCTGTTAGAACATGCCTGTCACATAGTAAGCTCTCAGACCTCAGCTGCTCTTGATTATTAATTATGTGGTATGAGACATATGCCTGAACAGACCTCTTGGCTTGAAAAAACTATATCCTCTCCTTTCTGGACCTTTCAATCCAAAATTATAGCTGAGGTACCTACCCTAGGTCAAAAATAATTTCTTCCCCACTCAACCATGCTGTCAGATTTCTGAAAACTGCCTCTTGGGTTAACATTCCCCAGAAGCTCTGGAGAGTAGAGTAAGGACCCCCAGCAGGTTAAACTTTCAGAGGAAGGCTAAGAAGGCCTTGCTTAACATTACGAGCTGCTCCAGCATGATCTGTGTTAGCTCCTCGCCTCTAGCACTGGGTAGTGCTGCTGTGTACTGGAGACTTTATGGGGTTCATTTAGAGGGAGTCTTGGCTGGATGACATCGACATTTCTTCTGATAGCGCCCACGTTCTCTTCACCTCCAAAATGTATCAGGTCCTACGTTATCTGTTTGACCAGTGAGACGTGAGAGTGCAGCCCAGAGTGGCTGTTGTGTAGGACCTTATGTCACATTCCCATTTCTAGAGTTCAGGGACATCCGTCATCCCGTTCTAGCCTCCCAGCAGCTCTGCGAAGTCGGCAGAGCAGAATGGGACATGACCTGGGTCACACTTTGTCAGCGGAGTCTGGAGTTCTGGCTCACACACCCCTTGTTCTTCCGATCCAGGCTTTGGGAAATGCTATTACTGAAAAGTGTTGTTTTTCAGGTGACGTTGTTGTGGTTTCCTTCTACTGAATTTATGATGATGAGATGTTCAAAACGAGTGAGAATGTCCAAGATAGAGAGAGTTTCACTGCAACATTCCCACGTAGATTCTCCTTTGTGGAATCATTAAAACACCACTGTATTGGTTGATAGAAAATTTCTCTGATTTTTCATATTGACCAGAATGAGAGGTAGGGAGGGGAACCTGTAGATTATGAACCTTTCAGTGTCTGAAAGCAAATAACTTTTTCACATTTGTTTTAAAGTATTTTAGCCAGAACAGATAGTCTCTGGGTAAGGTACTCTGTAAATTCAGTTTTGTTTCATTTATCCAGGAAAACTTACTGAGAACTCCCAGTGTGCCAGGTGGTGTGCTAGAATTGGGAATAATACAGTGACCAACAGAGCTCGGTCCCCAACCTGATGGAGTTCACAGTCTAAGGGGAAAGAACAGCAAACCAAACCTGTAGTTTCTACAGTTCTAACCAGGACCAGTGCTGTAAAGAAGAAATGGCCTGTGGTGTGACCTGGGTGTATAGGTGAACTTCCCCTAGGAAGAGACAGAGGTTAAAAGCCTGAAGCATGAGCAGGAATTGGCTGGTGTTACTGGAAGCTTTTCACAGGGTCAGTAAAGGCAGCAGGGACCATCAAGACTCTAGAAGATTGGCATTAGATGTTCAGGTCCAATAGTGACAGAGCTAATAACGACTCTCCAAAGTTGTCGCGACCGCCCTTCACAGGTGTGGGGACAGAGACTCACGCAGACCAGTAGTCAATGGCAAGGTCAAGCTTCACACCCAGGCTACTGGACCCCAGACCCTGTGCACTCAACGTCACCCTCCGCTGCCTCCCACCAGAGGGAGAGGAGCATGGTCAGCCCAAGGGATTCCTGTGCTCCCACCTCCAAGTCAGCTGGCTACCAGCCTCTCTCGAGGTCACCTTCAGGCTTAGGACATCTTATAAGCTCACGTCCCAGTTATGTGACACCCTCAGTCAGCTGGGAGGGGTGGGACTGCGCAGAAATAATGTGAATTCATGAGGATGCGGTCATCCCACTTAGAGGAGAGATGTTAATGTGTTCCTTTCAACTGACTCACCATCTTTCAGGTAACTCTGCAGTTGTTAAATGGAATTTATTTTGAAGGGTTGAAGTGTTTTAAAAACAGGATTACTTTTTTTTGGTCCCTGAGTGAGTAGTATCATTTATTATTTAACCTCCCATAAATGTCACTGTTAGTCCCATAACCTTGGGCAAGATACTTCTCTGAGTTTCAGGTAGGTTTTTAAATATTTACCCTGAAAATTTGAAGAAAGATTAAGTAAGATAATGTATATAAAGTACCTGGTAAGTGCTAGGTGCCCAGTAAATGGTGGTTAAGTACTGTCAACTGTAGAAACGTTTATTTTTAGAACAGCTCACATTTACAAACTTTTTAACAATTGTGGCTCTTTTTTCATGTAATTTTATAAATCTCAGGTTAAAAGATAAACCTCTATTATTATCTGATCTGCCTCAGGCAGGTGCTTTGCCAACAGCAGCCTAAGGCTCAGAGGATAGTGACTCCAGGAAAGGGGGTTAAAGGCCGTCACTCTCCCAGTTCTCTGGGACCTGGGACCTAGGACCTGGCTGTTGTGGGGCCTAGCTCGTCGAGGTCAAACAGAGGCCCCAGTTTGTCATTTGGAAACCAACACCCCAGTTCTTCCTAACTTTACTAAACATTTAAATTTCAGCTTTTCTTCTGATCTCAGATGTACAACTTCATACCCATCTCCCTGAGCTCTGCTGTCCTCCTCAGACCTTCTAAGGATCTCCCTCTCAGGCCTCAGCCTCTTTCCCTGGCTCCAGCCCCACCCCATTCACACACACATTTTTATTACTACTTATTTATTTTGAAATATGTTTTTATTATTTTAGAGAGAGAGAGAGAGAGAGAAACATCAATCAGCTGCCTCCTGCACGCCCCCTACTGGGGACCGAGTCTGCAACCCGGGCATGCGTCCTGACCAGGAATCAACTGGGACCTCTCAGTCCATGGGACGACATTCAGTCCATTGAGCCACACTGGCCAGGCTTATTCTTTATTTTTAAAGCATGACTCTCATACTGACAACCTTGGGGGGAAACTTTGGAACACCTGAGGGGCTTGTGTACCAGATTTACTTTATATGACAGGAATATTTTGAAAGAAATGTTCTTTTGACTATATCAGTTAGGGTTAGGTTTGATACAAGAAAACCTAAAAGATACTGGCTTTTATTTTATTTTATTTTTATTTTTTTTTTTAAATAATTTATTTATTTATTTATTTTTTAATCCTCATCCGAGGACATTTTTCCATTTTTTGCACAGACAGAGTGGGAGGGAGAGAGAGGAAGAGAGAGAGAGGGAAACATCGATGTGAAAGGGACACATCGAGTGGCTGCCACCCGCACGACCAACCAGGGCCGGGGACAAACTGCAACCGAGGTACATGCCCTTAGCGGGAACCGAACCCGGGTCTCTCCGGACCGCAGGCGGACACTCTAACCGCTGAGCCAAACCGGCTAGGGCGATACTGGCTTTTAAAAGATAGAATTTTATTTTTTTATATATAAGATATCCAGAGATAGGCCATTGTGGCTAATATGACAGTTTCACCAAATGGTCAGGGCATGGTCTCCTTCCTTGCTTTCCTGCCATTCTTGGCACATGGATTCCACCTCATGATGCATAACAGCTGCTGCGTTTCATCCATTAGGACTACATTCCAGCCAGAAGGAGAGAGACTAGGAAGTTTTGCCTTCTCCATTTAAGGGTGCTTCCTCACAGGCCTCACAAAACCCACTTATGTTTTATGGGCTAGAACATAGACACTTGCCCAACTAAATCCTGTTCATCAGGAAGAACAGGTAGTATGGGACACCTAGCTGTTTGCCACACTGGCATTTCAAGTAAACCCTCTCTTTTTATTCCTCCTTCAGCCTCTTTTTACATTTTTGGATGAAAAATTTCCAACATTTGCCAAAAAGAAACCTATAATGAAGCCCAGCACATGGCTCCCACAGGTGTGCACTCGTGGCCAGACCCGTTTCTTCTAGACCTCCATCTGCTCCGCTGGCTGATTGGGAGTAGACCCCAGGCATCACATCTTTTCCTCTGCAAACAGCTTAGTACATGTCTTCGAACAAGACACACTTTTTCTGTAAAGGGCCAGATAGTAAATATTTTAAGCTTCTTAGGCTACAGATAGTGTGTTGCATATTTTTTGTTTGATTTTTTTAACATTTAATTTTCTTTAATAAAGCATTCTTACCTTGAGGGCCTCACAGAAAGCGAGTCCTGGGCTGCATTTGGCCTGCAGGGTGTAGTTTGCTGCTTT